CAATTGTTAATTTCTAATCACATATATAATGACTAACATAACAAGTACCAGTTTGGCATCTGGATCTCCACTACCTCATTGAGTACGCACATAACAAATCATACAATAATTGGTCACAATAGTCTGTCACCATGTGACTCATAATAGAACATGCATCCCAACTATATCTGGAAAGGCTTTCATCTATTCACAAGTAGGGTTCACCCACTGCTGAATTTTAGTCATACTGTTCCGATGCATATTAAATATTTTGTTATGAGAAGTTCTTTGTGCTTTTCCTTTGTTTGTATGGTTGTATTAATTTATTTTGAATTTTTATTTACATTTTACAAATCTCGGTAGGCTATTTATATTCTCAATGACTTTACAATACTTCTTTATGCCTCTTATCCAATCTGTACTCTATTTTAATATTTTACCTCCTTTACATTCCAAACAAATTTCCTCATCAGCTCAACTTTATTATGTTTGGTAGATTGGAATTTCATGTTTTAAATTCGTCATTGAATTTGTTGATTGTCGTTTTGTTATTTGATTATTTTAAGTTAGTTTCAAGTTTTTTCTATTTGAAATTGCAATTTTTTTTATTTGTTATTTGAATTTTATTTAGTGATTGTGTTTTAATATTTTATCAAACTTATTTACTCCCAAACTTAATTTTCCTCATTATTTCCCTTTTCATTCCTTTTATTCTATTATCTCATTCTTATCATCTAAAATGTTTATCCTCTCTCATTTCTTTCATTCTCATCTTAATCACCTTAATAATAATTTCCATTCGCCATTTTAATTTAATTTATAAATTTTGTTTTTAAATTTATTAGTTACTTCAGCTTCAGAATTCTATTATTTATTTATATACAAACCATTTCCTAAATACTTTACATTTCCATCTTATACCATTCTTAATAATTATTCATTTGTTCTAAACATAATGATTCATCATGCAACCTACATACTGTCCTAAATTATTCAAAATCATTCTAATCACTTTCATCATCACATGACTCATCCTCATCACCATCATCAACACATTCGTTATCATCACATTCATCATCGCATTTCAAACGTAACATAGACATGCATAAATCAATCATACGACACACACATGAATGAAATCCATTATTTCATGTTCCTTGTTACCAAGTTTGATTATCAATTATCAATCTCTTATTTCTTAAGCCCTTATCAAATTCCTTAAATTTTGATTTTAGAAAATATTTTATTTTAAAAAATATGTGGTTTCAGGATAGCTACTAGATATACTTACCTCACCAAAAGACTAAGACCTGATATCGCTCTTTAACATTCTCTTCAAGTACAATTCATTATACGTGAAACTATACATCATTATTAGGAGAATTTCTAATACCAGAATTAAATATAATAATTTATAAACTACGTATTACATTTTCTAAATCTAAACTTCAATTTACCCAGTTAAATTTTAATCAAACTTAAGCGAGCTAACAACACAAGATCATGAATTTCCAAATTTTACCTTGAACGGGGTTTGGGATTCCCAAAGGAAACATATCCTGGTTCATCGAAAGACATAGTTAGACCAGTTCGATCCTCATGGTCACCAACACGATAACCCAAAATGGTATCGGGCTACGGTCCTCTCTCAATCCCGACTACCTATTCGAATATCTTCCTTGTTCACACACAAAATACATGCATTAAATGATGAATAATTTTAATTAAAATACGAAAAAGGAAACTAATTTAACCTGAAACATGCAGCCCTCTGGTCATTGGAGTCACCACGCACCACCACGTGCCACCTGTACGATCAAACCTACGTCGTCGACATCGCCACACGCTGACCCATATGCCACTACTAAAATCAACACCACCAGTAATGCACTGTCACCATGTTACAAGCGTCATATCTAAAATAGATCAAACATTCGTTGCGTGCGGCACACCAGCACCAGGTCGCGCCATGTTTCTTTCTTTTTTATTTCTTTGTTTTGTAGTTTTCTTTTCTTTTTTTTTTCCTTTCTTCTTCTCTTTTTTTTTGCTTTTTTTTCTCTCTCTTTTTTTTTTCTCTTTTTTTTCTTTTCTTTTCTTTTTCTTTTTTTCTCTCCCTGCGGTTACTCTCTCCTCCATAGCATGTGCCATGGCCACCGCGCCGTGCGCATATCCTCCTTTCGCCATGCACACAAAACTGCTTGCACCTCTTCCTGCCGAACGGTTCGCTCACTCTTGGTCGCGCACGAATCTTGATCCCCCATGCACCTGATCTTTTTCTCCTTCTTCTTTTTCTTCTTCTTCTTCTTCTTCTTCTCTTCTTCTTCTTCTTCTTTTTCTTCTTCTTCTTCTTTTTCTTCTCCCTCTTCTTCTTCTGTCACGCCTGTCGATCTCCCTTTCTCTCTCTTGCTCCCTCGCATGATCCCATTCTTCCTTTTTTTTCGATCGGTCGCCGCTCTCTTCTCATCGGGTTGCATCAGTTTTTCTTCCACCAACGCACAAATCTCCCCTTCCATCGTGTGTTGTGCCCTCTTCTCTCTCTTTTTCACTGCAAGTGGTAACTCTCGGTCACCTTTTCTTTCTTTTTTTCTTTATTTTTCTTTTCTTTTCTTTCCTTCCCCGATAGGCCCTGGGTCAAGTTGGGCATGGTTGGGCTTTTAAACTAGCCCTCAACAAATTTAGACCGCACAATCTTAACATATGTGGTTGCATGCAGTCCATTGGATGCGGCTTCATTAATGGCAAAATCATAATTTTGCCCCACATGATTCTCAACAATTAGATCGTGATTCTCTTTAAACCAGAACCGTCTGTGCACGTGGCCATTGGATCACCTAAGAATGCACGTAGGTCGTTCGCTTGACATCTTGTATGTGAACTATTGGATTGCAATCATTACCCTCTACAAGCCTGCACGCTGTTGGATCCCTTCCTCGTGTTCATCACCATTCGATCGACCCCAAATGCATGGGAATGTCGGATCTGATTACAGCAGGTGTCTGGTGGCTGACCACGCGTGCAAGTAAGCTAACACTTTGCATCCCCTGGGTGGTCTGCGACCACGTCAACCGCTTAGGTGTCCCAAGTTCTGTAAATTACGTAATGGCCCATAAATTTAGTTTTTTTTTTATCTGAGTCGTGAATTAAATTTTAATTCAGAAAAGACTCCAAAGGTCCCTAATACTAATTATTTATATGTTTAGGGACAAATCTTAATTTTAATAATTTTCTTAGGGTTTAAATTATGCATTAATTAATTATTTGACTAAACAAAAACATAAATTAATAATTTAAATTTTGAGGTATTACATATTTGTTATAAATTATTATGTTCAACAATATATTCATAATAATACATAAATTACAATTTATAATTATTTAATCTATATACATAAGTTTAGTATAATTTATAATTACTAAATTTTCTGTAAAAATAATTTTGTGAACAATATTTCTCATGAGATACCCAAAAAGTTTAGCCTTGATTTTTCATTAAAATCATGACTAATATAACTCAAAAAGATACATCAAGAAGCATACAAATGCATTGCCTGCAGCCTGGAGCCTGAAGGCAAGTTCTTACTCCAAACTGTGAAATACAATTTCTATATAATTTACATATATCATTACTGTAACTCGAATTGGTTTTCTCTTCAGATCTACTGCTTCAATGTCATTGAGTCATCTGACTGATGTAGGTTACCTTGTGAATTGGTATAAGGTCTAATGAAAGCTCTCCTCCACCAAACCTCAAAGGCTCTCTGCAAGTTTGGGCAGTTATCACCAACTTTCAGAAAGCTACCCAACCACGAAAGCAAAATACTCTGCTGCTCCTCAAGTGGTAAAGTGAGAATTGTCCTACCGATTCCTTCCTCGACGACTTTTCTGTCGAACGACCTACACCCGTGTTGCAACCAACTGTAGTCATTGATCAAAGGCTGCAGCCAGGCTTGTAACAATATTTGACGAGTATCCTTTGATGGTAGCAACTCCCCTCTTCCAATACCAACAAAAAGCCTTGCTGTAATGCGGTTAACATGGTATCGAGTCACGATTGGCAGCTTTTCATGCAACACTGATAATTCTTGTTGGCTAGCCCATAATAAAGCAAACTCATCTGCTGCTTGCTTGTCAATCAAAATCTCAAGTAACCATGAGAGGTTATCAGATTCTAGAGCTATTTGCTTCACCACAGGTTCTTTGGTGTCCATTAATTTATCAGCAAACTTGGGTTCAATGGCCTCTTTGAATAGAGACAACAGTGAAGCCAAGCAGCTTTTGCAAGAGGCATAAATTGTTTCATTAGAGATGTCCGCCGAACCTGCGTGACTAGGGAGACTGTTGTGCTCTCTAAGGAGCTTCAGGACTACGGATTTCATTTCACGCCGTCCTTTCTCCTCATTACTTTTGAGAACAAGTTCCATTATGTGGGAAAGTGTGTCTCCAGGTGGATTAGAGAATTCAGAAGCAATTCGTTTCAACACTGGGTTGACCCCAATTCCCTCACCCTGCAGTCGTAAAACTGATGAAACCACTTTTTCTTCTTCCTCTTCCCCAACCCAAGGAACTGCTTCTAAATATTCCAAGCATGACTCAATGCATGAGTTGAAGCCAAGTGTCTCAGCAACCTGCAGATCAGTTTTATGCAAGTGAGAAAAGATTTCACAGGCTATTAAGTGCAAAAATATGAATGGTAAATAATTAGAAGATGATTCATATAATGAAATCAACAGTTTTCTCTTTGATACTAAAAAAAATCTGTTAATAGACGAAGAGAAATATAACCTTGGAGCACAAAGAATCCTTCCTGAAGAAAGAAAACAAGACTAAAAGAAAATGAGAAAAATTGCTTGCTGACAAAAATTTGCTAGAAACGAGATCCCAAGATGAGGAAAGACCCACTTGAAGAACTATTAAGATCCAGGAGAAACCAATTGGTGAACCATTGTCTAGGACAAAATAGATGAATACACACACATTGATGTCAAGGAAAGAACTGAAGGCAGGGAAGAGGTTTAACTGACTGACAATGCATTTAATCAATTTATATACAGCTTGGTAGTTTGTATT